TGTGAGTCCTTGACAATGGACATTGTACTCCTGTGTTGTACTACTGCTACTATCAAAAGTAATTTTGAGTAATCATGGCCCAGATGGTTGAGCTGTAATGTGACTTCTTACTGACGCAGGATTTGCATAGTGGGCTCTTGAGTCTTTCCAATCATGGGATACATGTTTGCATGTTTTAAATAAAGATGGTGACATTCAGGGAATGCTTTAGGTTTCTGCCTTTGTCCTACAATGCTTTACTTGCACAGGGTGGAAAAATTATCGAGTGAATTCTAACTTTTGCTCACTGAAATCTCCTAGTAACATGACCTAGATATTTTTGCACCTGTCGACATCTTGTCTTTGAGTCCTACCTTCACATTGAGCTTTAGAAAATGTGTGCTGGTGTGCAGTGATCCAGTTGAGCAAAGAAAAAAGGAAACAGTTAATAAAGACTGCAAACTGAAGGGACAAGGTGGCCTAAAAATGTTCCATTTTAAAATCCTTTTGCATTCCTTGTAAATTATTAGGCTTTCATTAAATGTTTTGAAAAGGGAAGAAAAGCATTTGGGTCATTTTGTGCATGGTTTCCTGGAGCGTAGTGAATGAAAAATGGAAGAAGAACATTTAAGTATTTAGGAGTCTACATGCTGTGCTGTGGAAAAGTAGAGATTTGACTCTTTGGTTCTGAGCAGCAAGGAGCATGCTTTGGTGTGGCTCCTGAAGGAAACGCTGCATGTGTAAAACCATTGCTTAATAAAATGGGAAATGTTCTCAGTTTTGTTTTTATCTGAGATATCCAACAGTTAATGTTTCTTATGCAAGTATTAAATATAAATGTTTCAGGGAAGGTAAAAAATGGGGAATGTATGAAGTATAGTGTTTTTCTGTCATCAGTTAGCATAGATTATTAGGTGAGTGTTAATCAGACCACTTGGATGAGTGTTAATGAGAACACTGAGTCCTGCTGGCAGCTTGCTGCTTCCAAAGGGATGTGAATGTCCTCCTCTTTATTTCTTTTTTCCTTATTTCCACGATTCTCTTGTTTGTGCCTGTTCACAGACCATTTGGTAACACAGGCATTGGTAAGTCAATTTTTCCCATTCATCAATGAGCAAAATAATTCCTTTTTTTTTTTTTCCTGCTGGTCCAGGGAACTGACTTGATTCATCATCAGCTTAGGAAGAAGAAAGTGGGATGAAGTGGCAGGAAAGGCAGCATTTGACCATCTCTTTCACTGCTATCGTTTTGGATTGGCTGTTATCTTGTGAAGCCTCATCCTTTGGATTTAGTTATGGGGGTTCTGGCTATCCTCAGAAATTATTATTTAAATTCAAAGATGCTGATCACTTGGGAAAAAGTCATGAAATACTCTTTGTTACTGTTACTGACAGTTCCTGAAATTTCTCACCTCTTTGTTTTTCTGTGACTTGTATGGCAGCATTTATTGTCTCCATTTACTCATCTCCTCTTTTCATTGATGCTTTACCTTATAAACTCTTCACACATATTTTCAGTCTTTTTTTATTTGATTCAGGTTTTGATCTCAGACCCTGAAAAATTAATCAAAACTGGATTTCTCCTGCAGTTGTGATAAGTGCTAAGCTGTAGTAAGGTTGATGTCACAGCTAGGCTGAATTAACACTTAGCTGCTTCTGAAGGTGTTATTTCATTCCTTCTCTGGCAAGTGTTCTCACTGCTTCACTTGAGCTCACTTTGGTGTTTGTCTGATGAGGTGATCTGAGGAGACAGGCAAAAGAAAGCTTCAGTTTTAGGTTCATCTGGCTCTGTCAACCTGCTCCCTGCAGGGTAAAATGTGCACCAGGCTTGGCCTAAGAATGGAGAGCCATGAACACACAGGCAAAAGACAACTGCTGAAATGGTAGAAACTGGGCCATCTGTTCTATCACTGGTTCTTGATTAGGTAGATACAAGATACAGCTGTAACATCAAGAAGGCAAATATCTTGCTCCTTTTGTTTGAACTGGAGTGTAGGAGGATGATATAATGTTTCTATCCACACAGCGCTTCAGCTTTCTTCTTCCCTCATTATGAGTTCTTACATGCTTATATTAACAAGAGTTTGTGTTACCAATTTTTTTGTTTTAATTTCTGTTTGCCTCAAATATTTTTATGTTGACCTTGCCACAAATGTTTGTTTGACTACAGTAGTATGTTAACTATCCAGAACTGCATTCATGACCTCTTAACAGTCTGTTCTTCACAAGAAGTTGCATTTCTATTTGCTCTGCATTTGAAGTTCATGAGGGCTGGAATTCCAGTTTTTCTCAGCATCAGTAGTTTTTCATTTCTCAATGAAGTTGTCTTAATTTTGCTGCCAACATTGTCCAAGTGGAGATGTCAGAGATTCCTTTACAAAATCATTGGTTATTCAGTTGTCAGGCATCTGGAATGCTGGAGGTGAACCTTAAGACGCTGTTACTTCTTCATTAATGCTTACTACGTCATGTGTTTTTCTAAGAAAGAGGAACAGCTCCAGATTGAACAGATTTTATATTTCTTAACATCATTAGAAGTCTCTGCGTAGCATTTGCCTCTTCATTTTGCTAGGGTTGGCAATTTTCTTCTGCATTAATAACTAAGCAGAGCAGCTCACAAGCTGTAAGGCTGTTATCTTTAAATTGCATTTACATATTTATATTCTGCTGAGTGAATGTCTTGCCCTTTAATATACTGTTTTGTGGCACATGTCACATGCCGTTCTATTTTCTGACTGAGAAAAAAGAGACCAAATTTATTTATCATAAGATTCATGTAAGCCTTTTTATATGCCTCTTTTTTCATTAGAGTTTATTCCAGTTTAATACTGTAGTACTGGTTTTTGTATCCAGCCTTTTTGGTCCATTCCTCCTTTATAAATATTTTAGGTAGTTACTTACTTCACAGTAATTAATAAGGTATTTATTGAGAAAGCAGAGCTTTTCAGTTCACCAGGAAAGTTTGAAGATGGATATTCAAGAGGACTGACAAATAGGCTAAAAGCACAGAGTCAGTCCTCAGTAAGGAGTGTGTGCATGTATAGGAGCATGAGTTTATAGATGGAGGGGTTGTGTGTATGTGCGTGGTTTTTGTCTGCATTTATCCATCAAATAGATGTCTGCATGTATCTAAATGTTATTTCATGGCTAGGAACAGCTTTGTGTCTGTCTCTATTTTATAATTCATTTCCCTACTGTGTCAGCATAGAGGAGAATGAATCTATGTATACAGAATCCATCTTCCAAGACACGTAATGTATTTTTTTAGCAGTAGGTTACAAAAATACCCTATGATTCTGCTTTTTAAAATGGCTCTGTAGCTGTGTTTCTTTGTGGTGTGTTTGCTTCTGAGTTGTATGTATGAATGAATTTAAGTGGAGTGTTTATCAGAATATGAGGGCTCATTCAGAAACATGGATTTAAAGACAAGCACTTTTAGAATGCAATATCAATTTATTTTGGGAATACAACTGTAGTGCACTGAGAAAAGGTAGCATCACCTACCCAGAGTGTTTAGTTCTTGGTATTCTTAGCAGTACTCCCTCAGTCACAGTATTATAAAGCCTTATCCTAAGTAAGTTCAGTAACTTCACCTTGAATAGCCTTGTTGGAATTTGAAACAGATTTATGGCAGAAACATGTGGTCCAAACAGCTGTCATGCAAAACCATTTTTAAAAAAGCCCCTGAAAGTCTCGTAGACTCAGAAATCTGTTGTGCATGTTGTTTGGACGTTTTTAAAATGAAGATAATACTAAATACATCCTTCAGGAAAAACCTCTAATATAGGCCTTTAACATAAATCCACAAGTAAAATACGCTGGTGTACTTGGTCAGATGTGCCTTTCTAACACAGCACTTAAAGGACTTTGGATTTATAGCTCGCCTTTCCTGTGGAATTACAAATAGTTTGATAGTACGTCAGTGGAGGCATGAAAATCACAGAAAACAAACCAGGATTTGGACAAGGATCAGAGAGTGAAAAGAAAGAGTCATCATGAATGCATCTGTCTTAGGGTTTTGGATTTGATTAAAAGAACCTTAAAATTCTGTCAGTGTAATCTCTCCAAAGTAAAGTTAGGAAATGCAAGTTTGTTTCCTGGCAACAGCTCTGTTTCATTACCCAACATATTGGGACGTGGAGGGTGGATCCAGGCTGTCTGGGGAGAAGCAGAGTAAGCCATTCCCTCTGCTGCTTTCCAGCACTGAGGCATTTCCCCCATGTTGGGGACACTTGTTTCTGATCCACCCTGGCCTTTTCCTATCTCATGGATAAGTTCTCTCAGGGAAGTAAGGAGTAAGGGTTTTGCTTAGTAAAAAGGAGACAGAGCCTATAGTGCAAAGGGGAGCAGAGCATGCAGATTACCAGGTTTTATATGATGTATTTAAATTTTAACATTTGAAAAATGTTTTATGTGAATGATTCTGCTATTTCAATGATCTTGTATGACAGCGTCAACTTCAAGTGGAAAAATAAGTGCTCTAGAATGAAGAATATCTTGAACAAAGCAATAAAAGGAAGTGGGAAGGCATCAGTATTTCATGCTCCAAATGGATGGGTGATATGATAGTAGGCATAAGTCAGAGGTGTGATCATGACTGATGTAAAGGAAAGAACCTCAGAAATTCCAATTTTGAGTAGAAGATGCACTGAAGGAAAAAAAAAAACCACCTTCTTTTGAAAAAAATCAAATTCAGCTGAGTTGCTAATGCTCCATGTGACAGTGGATATATACATGCTTGCTGGTCTGACTGCACAGTTTGTCACAATAAGGCTGTTAGTTTAACAGGAACTCACCTCAGCCATGCTTTGATTTCTTTAAAAACTGTAAGGTTTCATTCAAGTACTCCTTTTTTTTTCTTTTCTGTTTTTTGTTCCTTTCTAAATAAGAACTTCTCTGTGGCTACTTTGCAAATGCCAGATTAATCATGAGTTTTAATATAGTATTCAGAGAGCATTTTTTTGAATAAACAGCATTTTATTAATTGTTTTCCATTTTTTTTTCTTCTGCCTCTCATTTCAGAACGGTTTGATCACCACTGTCCCTGGGTAGGCAACTGTGTGGGGAAAAGAAACTACAGATTTTTTTATATGTTTATTTTATCTCTGTCCTTTCTGACAGTCTTTATATTTGCATTCGTTATCACCCACGTCATCCTTCGTAAGTATGCTGGTGAAATCAGATTACGTATGTAGCCATTTGCTTGAGTTTTTTAAGTTAATATTTTGATCATTCAGGGTTTATTTATTTATTTATTTGTTTGTTTATTTGCCTTTTCTCTGAAGCTTCACAATCCCCAGTGAGTCCCATTCTGGTCTATAGTAGGCACTGCTCATAGTAGTCATTGGCCTGCCACTGGCTTTACCTTAATGCAGTCTTAATTTTTTTGGTTTTAATTTTTTTTGTCCTTTTATGGATGATTAATTGGAAGAGCATCACATATACTGTATGTTTAAGTATACAGGTAGTATAATTTACCTAAAGAACTTCTGTGTGCTTTTTTACTGTAAGCATGGGTCACTTGCCATCCAGACAAAGGTAAATTACTAGAAAATAGATTGGAGCTGTACTTTTTGTAGTTTCCTGCTTAGGTGTACACCATTCTCAACCCTATTTTTAACATGTGTTTTTTTCATTTGTATAGGCATTCTGAGAATAATCAATTCATAATAGAGTGAATCAGAAATATTAATGAGTTTGAGACTGATTTTTATTTGTATACTGGGTTGTGTTTGAGGTCAAAACTCTTTTGGGTACTGTCTTTTGTTTCCATACCGCTAACTAATTTTGCTGGCTCCTATATGATGATGATGATGACAGGTTGCATGACTTGTCTTTAAACACCTTTTGTATGTTGGGTTTTTTAAGCCATTATTGCTAGAAGAGCGTTCTATATTTTTCACTTATTATATAGGATATTGCCTAAAGGAGTGTTTCTTTAACCAGTTTAGAAATGTGATCTGTTTATTCCTTTGTATTCTGTATTGCAACAGAAACCTGATAGAAATAATAACTTCAGTATATAACACACTTACAAAGCTATCTTGATAATGATAATATTCAGAGAATGTTTTACTGGAAAAATATGTCAAATTTTGCTCAATTTCCAAAATTGTTTACAGCATGCAGGGAAAAGTTGTATTTTAAAGAGCAGAATTCCTCCTCTTATTTGTTCTTTGCAGAGCTATGATGCAAGCACCGAGAGGCCCTCCTATAGCTAGTTCCTAAGCTACAGCTAGGATCTGTAATTTTGAGGGACTCTGAATGAACAACTTGTTTATACTACCAGATACAGCATTTCTAATCCCAGTTGGAAAAACCAGAGATAAGATGTATATATTGTTTAAAAAAGGAAAATTATTGGAAAAGGAATACTTGCCATTAATACTTAAGTGCTTGTTACCATACATGAGCATATACATACACACTTTTTACATATAAGAAGAAATACATGTGGGTTTTTTCTGCAATCTTTGATAGTGTTCAGTAGCTGAAAACATTCCTAGTCTGACAATGTAAAGCTATTTTTGACACTATCCTACCTTCATTTCACAAGGAATTCAGTGCTTTTTCTTTAGTTTTCAGTATATGAGTTACCAATATAATGTCAGTATTTCATGTTATGTATGTTAAGTAGGTTTATCTAGTGGATTTGAAATTTACAGTGTCTATACCTAACTCCTTAGTGTGATTTAGACAAAGAGTGGAGTAATTAATTGTGCTTCTGTGTGGTTGAGAAGCACTTGAGCATTGTGTAGGTGTTACAGATTATGTATAGTAAATGTTAAATACTGAATTGCCTGTCAGCTGCAAAATATTCTTCCATGGAGGTTCAGCTACCTAGAATGAGACAAGAAAAAACATCCTTAAGTTCTAAAGATTGGTCAGTCCTCAAAGGCAATGGGAGCAGGTATGAAATGTGATTAGTTCCTTGATGTTTGATTGATATACTGAAGCTTCAAGCCCAGCTTTCAAATTTGTCTGCTATAAATTTGTCTTGACAGTGTCCAAAAGAGAGTTCTTTAAAAATAAGGTTTTCTTATCACTCCACTCTCTTTGTACCTACCATACCTCTAGAAGTCCTCCTGTCTACCTTTCTAATAATTGCCAATCAACAATTTGTGTTCTGGTTTGTAGCTCTTCAGTTCTTTAGCTGATGCTAACCATTAAGGGATTCTCAGTTACTGAATGTGAACCTTTGCTCTTGGCATAGACTGCTTTTTGTTAGCATGGCTGAAGGAAGTCTCAGTTTTTAGACCTCAGACTATGACCTTCCTACAATATTTCAAAGTCATACATAAGTCCTGGAAAAATTATTTTAATGCCTCTTGATTTAGACAAAATTTTTAAGTTTGTATATTTTTTATAATTCATCTTGCAAGCTGGCATTTTAAGATTTTGGTGGGCCTAAGTGGTGATGAGATATATGATACATCTTTTTGTTTTCTGTGGCCTTCTGAGGCATACATTGGAAATTTGTTCTTTCTAGGTTTAAGAATATGTGCACATTACATTACTGAAGATAATAAAACTAATTTGTGAATCAGTTACTAAAGGTACTGTCCTGCAAGATTTTCTTCCTTCTCCCCAAGCTGAACACATTTCCAGCAGTAGTATCTGTCTTTACAGTTACTTGTCTCTCTTTGAGGCATCAGTATTTCACCTGTTTGTTTGGGGCACTGCTTGGAAGAGTGTGACCAGCAGTAGGGTATAGAAATCACACCTATCTGCTGCCATTGCCATTAAGGATGCTAAAAATAGTAAGAAGGCAGGGAAAGTTCCATTAGTCTTGTACCTTGAGACTAAGAAGCAATTATAAGAGTCTGAAAAGGCTCAGAAACACAAGGTAAGTAACTTCCCACTTGTAACAATAAAAAGTAAAGCTGACCAGATAGATACAGAGAATTATACATATATTTCTTTCTTCTTGTCAAGACAAGATTCTTCTCTCCATACAGACATTCAGATTAATTTAGCTAAGTGGAAAATTTTTGCTCTGGGGAAAACTTTCAGCCTGATGCATTTAAATAATTTGTGTTATACAGTAAAGTTCAAACTGTGTGCCTGTAGCTATGTCACATTAAGTCAGTTCCTACAACAAATTCACTTGTTGCAATCAGAAAATTGTGAAATCATCCTATTTTATTAATATCTCATGGTTATGGAACCCAAGTGCTTTTTTACTTTGCATGCTTCTACATTTCTGGTTGATGGGCTCATGCTTCTTTTGAACTGTTTTCAGCTACTAGGTTGTCTTTAATTTGCCCAGAGATAATAGTAGCCTATTAGAAAAATCTTCTGTGTAAGTGCAGTAGGAGCAGAATTATAAATAAGAGAGTGTTGCTTCTAAAACAAAGGATGGAAAGTTGGGAATCTGAGTTTATAGAATAAATTTTCCAAGTCAAAAAATTACTTTGAAAAATGGTATTTCAAAACGAAACAGGAGGTTATAATTTTTGTTTCCATATTAGGTCTGAAAAGGACAGGGGTAATCAGAAATCTTGTTCATGGGAAAGTATGTGTGCATCAATTTAGTATGACTGAGAAAATACCCTGCAGATGCTAAATCTGATAAGTTGCTCAAGGGCTTTTTTGATGTTGTTGCTGCTGAGCAACATATTCTCAGATTCATATTAGTAAATCTATTCTATGATTATTTGGTTATCTTCAAATGTTAATTATTTTAACTATAGTAAAAACAGCCCATAGTCCAGTTTCTTACTTGGCTGGTAATTTTGGGTTCTATTTCTACAGGTTCTCAACAAACAGGGTTCCTCAATGCTCTGAAGGACAGTCCTGCAAGATATCCTTTCCATGAAACATATTGTAGATTTTGTTGCAAAATAACATCTGAGATGGTTTTGCTTGTTTCCTTGCTATTGTTGAATGTGTCATTGAGGTCTGTCAGTATGTAAAGAAGTCTCATAAGGAAAACAGAGTGACTTCCTAGCCTGTGGTGACAGAACAAGGTTTTAAGCTGAAAGAGAGCAGGTGTAGATTGGCCATAATAAAGTTTCTGCAATGAGAGTGGTGAGATATGGGAACAGGTTACCCAGAGATTGGGCTGATGTCCCATCTCTGGAAATGTTCACGGGCTGGATGGGGCTCTGAGCAACCTGGTCTAGTGGAAGATGTCCCTACCCATGGCAGGGGTTTTGGGACTATATTTCCTTTAAGGTCCCTTCCAACCCAAGCCATTCTGTGGTTCTATTCTGTAAATGCTCCATGCACTTTTTATCACTTCATGGGAGCCTTCTGTATATTTACTACTCAGTGAGAATGGAGCCAGAAAGCAGCTAACATAATAGAAAAACGGGAAACTGATGAAACCACTGGTTAGTTTCTGTACAGACAGTAAGCTTCCCATTGCTTATGTATATGTTTTGAATTATTCCTGTTTGAATAAACAGTTTTCACCTCTCACAAAGACACTATAAAAATAATTATTTCCCGTTTGTCCATTGTGCCTTACACAGTTTGCTTTTCCACACAAAGACAGGAAGAAAAAACCTGTCATTCATAGTTGTGCATAGAGACCTCTTTCCAGGTAATTTTCCCAAGTGTCAATTTTTTTTGTGTGCTTGTCTTCATCAAGTACAATCACTGAGCTGTAAAGTCCCTTCTTAAGCAAAGCCATGTTCAGATTTTCTTGCACAAATAATTTTAAAAAGCACAAACAAACAGTTCTAATTAGAATAACAGTAGCTTCCAATTAAAACAATTACAGTCAATTCTTACAAAAGATAATTCTTTCAAACTGTTTTCAAACTAAGAATAGCTTTCAGTTCTCTTTAAATCAAAAGAGAATTGCTTATGCATTTGAGGATTTTTGTACAGGAACAATGGCCTGGAATTCACAATTTTTCTTCAGAGATGTGCTGCTTTAAAAGGCTTAGTAGCAAATCTTGCAGAAATGCCTGGCTTGATAGTGATATGTTGGACAATTTAAAAGCTTGGTTACAATTAATAACAGTAAAAAATTAAATTGTTCAAATAGTATTGGGAATGCTACTTTGGAGACAGTTGATTCAGGCACAGAGAACATGGCCATTTCAATTTTGCTGACAAATCTGTGCGAGATACTAAGAGGAAATTATACTGTATGATGCTAGTAAAGTACTATACAATAATATGCTACCAGGTTGTACTTTGCTGAGAATACATTGCTTTTTTGTGTTTGTTTTAGTGTTAATGGACTTCAGTTGAATTAGTGGATGCTGGTTAATTTGACGTAAACTACCCCTGCTGTTCTTGAGTTGTTTTGGATCATTGTGTGGGGAACTGAAAAATGTCCCTTCCTGTCGGGAACTGAAAGAGGTCTTGAACTGAAAGGAATTCCCCTCTTTTTTCTTTTTTTTTTTTTTTTTTAATTTTTTTTAATTTTTTCCTTTTTTTTTTCTTTCTTTTTTCTCCCAGTAGGAATTACAACATGGAGAGAAAACTCACTTTTCAGTAACCTTTTGAGTGTAATTGTGATGAGGAACACCCTGTGATACGTTCAGGTTGCAGGGAACTCTTTTCCCTCTAGGGTTCTTCTTTTCTGACCATGTGAATCTTCCACCTGGTGTGTAGATTCTACCCAACCGTGCTTATCTGCAGCCTTCTTTACTATTTCTACTCTTTCAAAGCCCAGTTTGTATTGTGCATGATGTTTTGGGCTGTTTCCTTCTTTTACACATTTTGGACCCCTCTGCCAAGAGTCTGTTTCCTTACCCGTTATCCCTCGTGCTCCTTCCTTTAGCTGTGGCTGTTGCAGACACTCAGAGTTCCTGTCTTGTGCTGGTTTGACATCACACAGCCTGAGGAGGAAATGAGAGGCAGAGTAGTGAACCTGCTGCTCAGCAGTGCACTTTGGTCATCCTGCTGCTTTTGGAGCAGATTGCTCAGAATGCAAATGGCTCTTTTCTGGCTTTAAACCACTCTGATTGAAATAGGTCCTAGGGAAGATTATATAGGCACTTCAGGTATCTCCCACCTCATTAAGGGTGAGCAGCACTGCAATACAAAACTCTTTACTTTTAATGTTAGGATTTTTTATTGCAAGTATTTCTGTCCATCCATGCCATTTCCTGGTCGTGTCTCTGTGTAATGGTCAGGAGCTGTCATATTTTTCTTCTATGGATAGGTTCAGTAATAAGGTGTATTTTCTGTGTTCTAAGGCTGTGTCCTCATTCTGGAAAATTTTGAGTTGACGTTGTCTTGGAAACTGACTTCACTAAAGGTTGATATGGTTAATATACAGATTATTTTTATCCTATTCTTCTCTCATCATTTTGTTCCTGGTGATGAATTTTATGTATTTTTCTAGGAACCAAAACCTTTTATTCTGTTGAATCATGTTCCCTTAAAAAAATCCCAAAAATATTGAAATATTATAGAAAATAGCATTCTCAAAGCAGTTGTATTCAGAGTTCATGGCTGTTTTGTGTAAATAAATAAATAAAAGCTGTAGAAGAAAACCTTCTACAGAAAGTTTGGAAACTTCCTCTTTATGCTTGATTCTATACAGTTTAGAAGCAACTTTATTGTCTTACTTATGAGATAGTGACTCTAGAGTTAAAAGAATTATATAAACTGTATTAAGCATGCAATGTTCACTGCTGACTGTATGCATGTGCGCACTTTTGCTTCTCCCTTGGAGGTGAGGATGCTTGTGCTGGACATGTCCCTGTGCTGTTCCCTGTAAGTCACACGTGGTGGCACCCCGCGAGCTGCCACCCGTGCACCTGGGGTGTGCAGCCCTGGACATTGCACTTCACACCCACAGTCTGCTGGCTGGACACACACTCCTCACCGTGTCTGCAGAGTGCTGTGTCTGGTCTAGGCAGATGCCTAGAGCTTCTTTTTTGCTGACCTCTTCGAAGTACTCCAGAGATCTCAAAGGACTTGTGGGCTACCTTATATTTTGTGATTTTAACTACTTGGTTTTGGATTTTTTTTCCCATTTGTGTATATTTCCTTGACTTTTAATTACTGTGCTGGAAGCTGTGGTGTGTTTTTTCTCAGTATGGTCCATTGTTGGCCTCTCAGGTTTTCATACATATTTGATCAGCTCCAATCAAACAACGAATGAAGATGTAAGTTTGTAGTATATTTCTATGTATGTATTTCTAAATAGTAATGAGGAGGTTTTTCTCAAGTTAGACATGTCTGCATAATTTTGTAAATACCTCAGTAGGAAAGAAGGAAAGTAATATGGTCATGCTTGATTCAAAAGATCAGATGAAGTCTTTTTGACAATATTTGTTGAGGTTTGAAAATGGGCTTGTTATATACGTAGTATGTCCATTATGGTTTACGCATGTAGGATCTCTGTCTTGAAATGGGAAAATACAGGAGGGAGGAGACAAATAAGTGTATTTTATACAGTAGGAAATTAACAAGTTCTTTTCAGTATCTCCTTTTCACTGGGAGTTATAAATATTCTTTAACTCAAAAGTTGCTTACTGTGAAACTTGAAAAGTGTGTTGAATTCTCTAAACAAAAATTTCATCCTTTATGTTATCTTACCTCTGAAACTTTTTTGCCATTTGGAGGTCCAAAACCTCTGGCCAGGAGTATATCATTAATTTAAAGATCAACTTTTTCATTTATATAGCTGTCTATTTTGCATATAGGATTCCTTTGTTTTGGTGTTGAATTATGCTTAACTGTGTGTAGAGTTTTCATATGTCTTTCCCTAAATAAAAGGAGAAATGTGTAATGAATGAAAGGAGAATACAAAATCAGCTAGGGAGCTAATGATATAGAAGGCTTTTGGAAATTTAATAAGTGATATAACAAACACTGCAAGCTTTAAGTTATTTTATTGTAATTTCCTGTTGTACCTTTTTCATAGGTATCTGGTAGATATAAAAGGAGCATCTTTAGTATTGTCAAATATGTTTTGTTATTGTTTAAGGTCACAGTTAAAATTACAAATTTTACAATAAATATCAGTCATCCAGAAAAACACTTCCCAAGCAGAATCAAAATGAATTGTGCCTCAGCAACAAGTATCAGAATAAGTAGCCTGAGTTGGAAGAAATCTGCCTTGTTAATAAGACAGATGAGATACCCGGTTATTCCTCGGTCATTAGGTTTATGCCAAGGTTGTCTGTCTAGATGGACTTAGTGTGCTTCCACCCTCTTCCCTCAAATAAATGTCTCTTCTGGATTGTTGAAAGATAGATAGCAGAGAACTACAGCAGTGGAACATGTCTGAATATCAAGTAAACTGTTCAGTAATTTAATGTAAAACATAAATTCCCAATTGAATACAGCAAGACATTTTACTCAGGCTCTCAAGTATCTCACAAACAGAAAAGCAAACTAGCTAAGGGAAAATGTAATAGGCAATAAAAGGTAGCAGTGACTGCATTTGCTTTATGATATTTTAAAACTTTTTGTGAACTTTAGGGAAGATAATGTTGTGTGATATTGTGCAGTTTGAAAACTTACCCAAGAGGATGGAAAAGAAGCGCTCAATTGCTGGCTTTAATCATATTTTCCAATTGAGCCTCTTCTGTAAAACATGCTATAATATTTGTAAAATTGAACTTGGACCATTATGCTTACATGCTGAAATTCCTGTTTTGAGTATATTGATCTCTTGAGATTGTGGGTTGTCTACATCTATGGAGCTAAAGCATGTGCTCATATGTTCCAGCCTTCATAACAACCCAGAACTCTTTAAATTGTTTGGAAAGTGTCATTATGGATTTTCTGTGGTCTCTTCTGCAAGTAGCATGTTGCAACTTTAATTTCTCACAGCCATTTTCTGTATTGTATTACATGTGGTGCATGTTGTTCATATCTCTTCAGATTAAAGGATCATGGTCAAATAAAAGAGGTAAAGAAAACTATAATCCCTACAGTTATGGCAACATCTTTACTAATTGCTGTGCTGCTCTCTGTGGGCCCCTCTCTCCAAGGTAAGAGTATCAAAAGTATTGTTAGCATAAATGAAGCCCTGTGATGATTAATGAAAAAATTATTCTTTTTGGTTATTTGAGTTTATTCAGCAAAATGAAAGTTTTAGATTAGTGTCCGTTAGAAGCTTTAAGTTTTTCTTCAGTGGCAAAGAGATGAGTTGGTAAATTGTGTTTAAATTAAGTTAGTGATCAAATCTTGTAAAATTATATCTGAAATGGAAATAAGCTTGTTTGTTATTCGAACTTTCACCACTACAGTTAATATCTTAGAGCAGTAAGAAATTTTTAGTAGTTAGCTGTTGCATGAAGTTTGTGAAACTTTTACATATTACTTTAATGTGACATGAGTTGAGGAGAGTTGAGGAACCTTAAATCTACAACTAGCTTGATAATTGTCGATTTTTGTCTTTTAGCTCTGCAATGTTGTATTTAAATGGACAGTATTTTTTTTTTAATTTAATACTGTTAACATATATATAGTAAACTGATTTTGGTGGTCTTACACCAAAGCTATTCCAAAGAACATGTAACAGATTATGTTTTGCTGAATACATTTTCACCTCTGGAAGTCTGAAATATTTATATATTTCAGGTTGGGGATGTTTTTTCATCTTGAAGAAAATGTAGTACAGAGCTGAGTCTAGAGAAATAAAACTGGCAGCCAGAAAAACTTAATTCTTTTCTTATTCCAGTGCTCTACATACACAGTAGAGACCCAGTTTCACTGTAGAGAGGGGCAGAAAAACTTGTAGATAATTTTGTGGCCTGCTCTTGGTTGGTATGTTTTGCTTTGCCTGGAATTGCGAAGTTATGAATCTGAACAGGAAGAAAGAAAGTAAATTACTTTATGGTCCAGAGTCTCAGGTGTTTAATTGGAGTGAGATTTCTGGCTTTGCTGTCAGAAATGTCAGAGGTGGTTCTTCCATGAAAAGTCAGAGTTTAACAGGGGAGACTGACATCTTTTCCTAAAGGGGAAACAGCAGAATAGAGATTTCCACATACAGGGTTACCCCTGGTGAGAGTGAATAGCTTTGTTTCTGCTTCCTGCCTGTATAGATGTTGCCTGAAGCCAACCTTTTAATTCCGAAATTTTGCTTTTGATAAAAGTATGTGACATAAAAGCTCAGTGCCACACTTCAAATTCTTTTGACTCCAAATGAAAATCTTTATTAAAACTACATCATGTTTCTCAGTATATGAAATAGTATGTTAGGCTGATAAAAGTAGCAACACACAATTGGACCAGACTGGCATTGGCTCCTGTGTTTTATGAGAGTTTGTGCATTTTTTCCTAAATTCCATGTAGCAACATTACTTATACAGACATTGACATGTACATATAGAGGTTCTGCAGGGAGGTATTTTGTGACCACAGGGAAAAATTTCCTGACTGTAACATGTAAATTATAAGCTTGCGTTTTTTACTTTTCATCTCAGCTATGCCCAAGTCACTAAATTTTAATTTTTTTTCCTGAGATTCTGGAAAAGTAGCTTACCAGTAATTTCAACTCAAAATTCAAAACCTTCAAGTGTCTTTGAGCATGGAATGCAGATGAAGAGAGGATCCATAAATAATCAAAACTTATCTCACTTATGTTAAAGATCATTTATTATTTTTAAACCTGTGCTAGCAAATTCGGAGTGTATTTTACATGTCCTCAACAGTTACTTTCAAATCTTAATTTGATTCTTGGCTGTCAGCATAGGTCTAACCAGTATTCTGGTACAACAAATTATATAACTTCTTTAGGCATCTTTAATCTTTAACTAGGTTGGATTATTTCATTCTATGTATTTGGATTTAATCTTACACAGATTTTTTTTTTTTTCGCTTACATTTAGTAATTTCTCCACAGAGCATTTTCTTAGAAATAAGAAGTTTTATGAACGCATCACTGTGGTAAGCACAGTGGAACCCTATAAAGCAGTGTTAAGTGGCTGTCATGAAACACCTGGCAAGTTAAGTTATCTGTCAGAAAGAAAGATTAAGTTTTCTTCATTCCTGCTAAATTTTGTGGTTAAGTAGTTTCAATTTAGATGTGGAAGCTGGTAAAAAAAAAAAAATCTTTAAAAAAGATACTGAATCAAAGTGCCCTAAGTGAGTTTTTTTTCACCTGTGGTTTAAAATTCTTTGGTTTTGTGCTATCTGCTGGTAAGCTTCTAAGTCTATGTAATAAAAATCAAAAAAAGTAGCAGTGTGTGAGCTTATATGACAGTATCACAGTATCACAAAGAACCTGGTGAGTAGAAAATGAAGTCTAGTGCTTCATTTGGCTAAAAGGAGACATTAGAAGCTATTGGTGAGTCATTAAGGTCTGTTGTATGATAGAAAGTTTTTATTTCTTTGTATTGAGAGGAGCTAGTTATTGAGCAGCAACGTCTCTAATACTTCCCTTTATTGTGATTATTCTGTAGCTTAATTGACAGAAGAGGATTTATACAGCCGGATACACCGCAATTAGCAGGACCATCAAATGGCATTACCATGTACGGGGCCACACAATCTCAGAGCAACATGGTAGGAATCATCCCATAGTGTTGTTCATCAGGATTCCTGTGAATGTTTTTCTTCTCCACTTTCATGTGAACTAATCAAGTAATAACTAACTGGATACAGCTGACACACTGGGTGGAATGAGTTCTTTAATAACAGTAAAGAAAAAAACCTCAAAGTCCAAGGCTCTTTTTAATGTGCATTTCACACAGTGTAATAGTTACTGCTCATGAATTGTAAAAAAAAAAAAGTCTTTTCTACGCTGTTGATTTATTGAATATACTGCCATTTTGACTTTTGCAGTTGACACCTACTGTGTTTTGAACTGGAATATTCAAGTATCATGGACTTACTCTGGTTCATCATTTTCTAGCTAATTGTTATTTTGTGTGGCACTTTCTTCATACTCTATTTCCTTCTTTGCTTATGCACTGCGGTTTTGCATAGACTAATGTATTTTAAAAAGCAAAGATGAACAAGGAGGAGTTTCTAGGGGAGAAATATTTTGAAGAAAGAGCAGAAGGACAGTGAACCCAAACAAAAAATGACTACTGAATTGTTACAACAAAACTTCTTTAAACATCTTTGAAACTGTGTCAGTAGTGTTTACTTTGGTTTTTTGCTGGTAGCATTGGCTATCATAATGGAAGATAGGATTTCCAGTGCCAAGAAGAGAATAATTGGAAAGAGACCTTTTTCTGAAGGCAACCATCTTGCATATGTGCCTATTTCTGAATTGTTGTCCACATATCTTCACATTATGTGGGTTCTAATACTTTCTCAAAGAAGTCGTGAGTTATGGATACCCTTCTTCTGCCAAAAAAGAGGAAGCCACGAGGCCTTCTGACATAGTTCAGCCTTTCTTTTGAACAAAAGAAGAAAAGATGCACTCTTCCCAGACAGATTAGTTTTAGTCTCACTGATAAACTCGTATAAAAATTTTGCAGTAGTTCCTAAGCTGGTTTTACTTAATGTTTTGAGAATTAAATAGATTTGTTAGTCTCAATAAGAAAATGTATTAGAGACATTGTATGAAATCTGAATCTTCTGAGGTACAGTTGAGCAGAACAAGGTAATGCTCTATGTAAATTTTACTCAAAATATTGTAACTCTGAAGAGAGAAAAGGGAGTTTAAAAAAAAAAAAAGAGAAAGCAAACACTAAAATGGGCTGAGGTCTTTCCAGGATTACCCAAACTTTCTAATGCTGTCAAGGCTTCTTATTTGTGAGGATCATAAACCCACAATGTGTCCATGGCATTAAATTGTCTTTATCATTGCAAGAATTTAGACACTATCATTATTCCTAGATAGTAATGAGAAAATCTTTGTCAGTTTGTGAGAAAATTGACTACGTTTGTCTCTAGAAATGGAGAAATCTGTTATGGTATTACTTTAAATCAAATGGGTAGTTGTCACAATTTTAGAGTGTAATACCTCTAATTACACAAATTCTTCAAAGATTTCTTCTTATATCCTAGAATGAGCTGGAAAATGAGCTTATATCCACATGAGCTGGGAAAAGCCTGTGTTCTTTAACAGTTATCAGAGTTGCTCAGAAATGTGCAGATTTCACTCCTGAAAATGACCTCTTAGAAAAGCTTGAAAAATGTAATATGTCTTGTTTGGTTTGAAGGAATATTTTGGAAGACTGTAATGCCATTTTTCTCAGGGCGTCTTTTCTCTTCATCTGTATCCAAGACCAGTTGGTTTCTAAGGACTGCTGGCTATCAGCAATAAAATTTCTCCCTTGAGTTTGTTGTAAACTGTTAAAGACTGGCTTAGTTTACCCATCTCTCTAACACTATTTTCCCTTCCCTGTTGAGGGGAATATATCTGATACTGGAGCTGGTATTATGATTTCAGATAAAGATAGACAAAGTGAAATTCCTTGACTTAAAAGGGCACATGTAGATCATAGCTGTAGACCATAACAGTTTTTTAATCGCAGAAGCTTGGCCGTTTATACATCATCAGAGATATTTGTACTACTTTAGCTTTATTTATACTACTTTAATGCTTTTTGATTACAAGAAATAAATTAGTAGAAGTCTGAAGTGTGTTTCCGTACACCTTTGTGGTGTGTATCTCTTGATTTTATTGCAGAATGTATTACATCAGGTCTTCATTCTAGATGTTACCCTGCTTAGTACAGTGTGCTAAAATATCTCTCCTCATCATTGATAAAAAATAAAGATTTAAATCAGCATATTCTCTCTCACTTGTCTTCTCTTATTCCTTCCCTCTTTCATTTCCCTTTCTTCCCCCAAATCTTTTACAGAATCAGCTAGGTTGGAAAAGACCTTTGAAATCGAGTCCAGCCTATGACCAAACACCACCTTGTCACCTAGACCATGGCACTCAGTGCCACATCCAGTCTTAAACACCTCCAGGGGTGATGACTCCACCTCCTCCCTGGGCAGCCCATTCCAATATGTAATCACCCCATTTGTGAAGAACTTCTTCCAAATGTCCAACCTGAACCTCCCCTGGTGCAGCTTAAGACAATGTCCTCTTGTCCTGTCACTAGTTGCCTGGGAGAAGAGCCCAACCCTCACCTGGCTAAAACCTCCTTTCAGGGAGTTGTAGAGAGCAATGAGGTCTCTCCTGTGAGCCTCATACTTAGGCTAAACAACCCCAGCTCCCTCCGCAGTTCCTTATAGGAGTCAGTGACTTGTGGCTTTCTAAATAGAATTCTTGTGTTTCACCCAACAAGTCTCTTGACCCTCATTAAGTCTCTGTGGGTTGCTTAGTATAATACTCTCTTTTCATTTATTTTAATGAATCTTTTAACTTAGCCTCATTTTTGCAGTTAAGTTCAAAATAAATATCAGGCTAAGTGTAAAGTTGCCAGACACTGGTTTTCAGCACAATACGTTATCTCTTTTTCAGGATACCATTTGTGGGGCACTCTTTCTGTATTTAATAGCTTTTGTGGTAGTTTTGCCTCTGAGACTTTGAATATTTTGTACAGCACTTACCCATACTCATGGTAGCAACCCAGTTTGTCACAATCTCAGAAAGTCAGAGCTTGATTTTGGTTTTTTTCTAGATCTTCATAGAAGAGGTTTTTCTCATGTTCTCTCCATAGTATCTACCTTGTTTTACTAAAAGCTGAATCTCTGTTTACTTCCATGAAGGCTGGAAGCACATACATTTATTTTCCTGGTGCATTCCCAGTGTTTTTAATTTCTTTTTCAATATAATTTGAAATTATTCCAGTAAATTCATTAGGCAGCTTCTTAATATCCTTATCCACATGAAAAGCATGGTCACTTGGAACTCATAATCTGTAGATCTGGTAATTACCAAAGTATTGCCCTATTGCATTTTATTGCTGATTATTTTTATGAGCTCATTATCAGTTTGATTACCCAAATATTTTCCTTATTCTTAAGAATTTTTTTTATGAAGCACAGTATCTCACCCATTATGAAATAATAATTTTCTCTGCAAATTATTCTTTCTCTTTTATTTTAAAGCTTATTTTCTTTGTGTTCTGAAAAAAGTTCTTATTTACCCATAAACCCATGAAATTACCACTACTTGGGTCTGGACCACTGTAGTACTTAATTTTTTCTTAAAGCTGCAGTTGATTCTTGGGTTTTGATATAAGGTATTTTATTCTTTAGTAGTCCATTAGGGGGAAACACAGAATTTGTCTCATTCCTTGAAGTTTTTTTGAGGAATTAGTTTGGTTTATATTTACAATGATGTCTCTAGGAATTCTCTCATGCCTTATAAAGTGATAGACTTTGCTTTGGTTTGGCTCCATGTCAGGACAGGTTTACTTCCTTGTTTTTAAGAAATGTCCTTATATTCTTGAATTCCTAGGCATTTCTTCGTCAGTGTATAGGTAGTTCTGTGTGTTCCAAATTCCCTTGTTTCTAATTCTCCATTTCCTTTCCTGGATGCAAATTCTTTAGTGTTTTCTTACATATACATACTGCTGAAAATTGTAGGAACTGTACTGCATGCACAACATTTATTACCAGTGATAAGTGCAGGAAAGTCCTCTCCCACATGTTCACTTAAGTATTTCTGTTACTGATCTGGAAATAGATCCAGCTGACTCAGGGAGCATTAACTCTGACCGTCCCTTGCTTTTCATATTTGCATTATTAGGAGTAAGTATTTCTATCATGACAATAACAGAATTGGCAAGGACCACAACCCCATTTTTCTGGGAGTTTTGCAAGTGTGTTTCCTTGTATATTTATTGATGTACTTCCCAGATGCCCAAAACAAAACTCAGGGCTCTTACCAAGTCAACATTTTCACAGTCAGAGTGGATAGAGGTTTTTCCTTAATGCATTTTACTTCACAGGCAAAATGGGTTACAGGCACATGCAAGTAAATAAATTTCAGCATTTGCTTTGGGTTGAGATATGTTTTAGGAGCAATTCTTTTGATAGTGCATGTTTACTGAATTTTTATTCACATCTTAGAGCAGTGTTGGAGCACATGAACTAGATTTATTTTAGAAGATACACCCCTGGAATGCACCCAAGTTGCTCTTAGCATTCTCAGACGTTCAGCCCATAAGAACAAACAGTCTCCAATCTGAAGTAAAGTCTCTGGGCCAAGTGTAGCTTCCTGTTTGGCTTCAGAAGTGTTTCCCTTCGTAGATCAACTTATCATGAATCTCTACCTACTCATCTACTAGCACTGTACTGCTTATAGTAGAGCCATTGACTAGGGGGGCTTGTGGCTCAGCTGTTGCACAGTATCCACAGCACATGGATTTTGATTGTGAAACGCTACACCTGCTGGGAGCAGTTGCACAGCTCTGTCGCTCCACTCTTCACCCATCTGTTGTGCCCAGAATATGGTATTTCAGCATTCTTCCTGTACCTTCATGCCACTGTCAGCCTCCTCTGAACTCCGTGTTGTTTGTGCTTTATTCAGAGATTGTGAGGCTACTCATCCTGCTTTTTTCCATCTCCTGAGAATTGTAACAATTCTTGAATGTTACTAGCGTTTAGGAAATTTTAAACTTAAGTTTATTTAATATTTAAAGTAATTGTGATTATTTCAAAATAATCACATTTAGAAATGTGAAAAATATATTGCCATGTACAACAATGTTATCAAATTTCCTGTGTAGCGTAGAAAAAACAGATTTTCTTCAGGAAAGAAAAATATTTTTCCTTAGTTGTTTGTATTTATTGTGAAATAAACAGTATTCTAGGTTTTGTCCAATTTGCTTCAATTTCTGCCTTTTTATGTGGAAAATAAACAGATATCTAGAAATTTATCTGCATATATTTAGTTGAACTTCTGTACTTGTAGAACTTATTAAACTTGTCCTACCTTCAGAATCTGCTGTTTTGGAAACAGTGGAAATTTTAAGTGAAAAATAAAGTCAGCATATCTGAAATAAGAAGATGCTGGTGGAATAATTTTTGCAGTAGATTTTTAGTTATTTAGATTTTAATGCTCCGCTTCCTTTTTGTAACAGTCATACGCTTTTTTCTTTTATTTCAAATTCTGGTGTTGGATAATTCATGTGATTAGTAGCAGCTAAGACTTCCTGCCCTAAATTTCATACAGTCAAAAGTGACATAACTAAATCAACAAAAAAACCACCACGCCAAACCCTATAGCAAATATGATTTCCTTGTTTTAGCTTTGTGTTGGCTGTTTGGACTCAAGAATAGTCTACCTGTGTATTATGTGTTGTTTCTATCAGATGTTTTTGAGAGCCTCATAGAACACACATGCTTTTTCTGGCTTAGACTGTGTAATAGTTCCCTTTCTAGAAAGTTATTTACAACCTGGATTTTCCTAAGGATTTTGTGCTGATCACTGTTGAACAGACAAGAAAAAGAAAACCTGAAATTAATCTAAATGAAAGGAGAGGCTTTAGGGAAGTGACAAGTGCATGGAAAATGAAGAGATATTTAGCACCTGAAGTTATAACACTATTTAATGGAGCTTTATGAGGCTACCTTATCTTTTTGATATTAATTTAACTGAAATGCAGTAGCATTCCTTAAGAAGAAAATTAACTCAGACTATACAATGAGTTCAAGTAAATTATTCTCAGCTAATACAAAGCTGTGTACTTGTTTGCCTGGAACACATTAATGATTTCCTTTTGAAGATCAGAACTGAAGGTTCACTAAAGCAACAAGTCAGCTGCTAACATTATTTGTTTTCAGTGTACCCCAGTGGTTATAAGCATTCCTTTGTTATTTAACTTGTTCTTTGGCTACTGCCTTTCAGAGAAAATAGATTTTGGTCGTCTTTTTGAAGTTTGAAAATTCAGTTAACATATTTTTAAGGTGTGCATAGTAAGGTTGGTTGAAGTTTTAATTTAAATAAGCAGGCGTGAATAACAGGATATTAATGAAGAATGAGTTATTCACACTGAATTACTAATTGAAAGCTTGACTTTAAAAGATGCTGACAGTTTTCTTCTTAGTAAGGTACTTAAGCAAGGTTATGGCTTTAAGCCTGTGAGTAATCCCTCTGAAATGATAGGGAACCACTTTAGTTGTTTGGCTGGGGCTGTTCATCATTTTGTGGGGCGAAGATTGCTTGCAATTTATATGAAATCAATTTACGTAACAGGAGATCAGTCCATTTATCTTTCTGAAAGCAGAAGTCTTGGAAATACGCACCTGAGTAAGGATTGAGCTTCTGCCTGTCAAAAGTAATCGGTCTGGGAGTCCTAAACCACTTAGATGTGTTTTAAACACTACCTATCTCTTATGACCAAGTAGTCTACTTGCACACTTGCTGAATGTTAGGCGTGTGCATCCATCATTAAGTTATTCAGTGGAGAAATTGGAGAACCTGAAAATAACAGAGTTATTTTAATTAACCATTGATAATCATAGTTTTCATCATACAATAAAGGAGGCAAAAGTCTTCCCATGAGTTTTCGGAGAGTGTGGCACAGTGGAATATTAAACTCAAATGGACATTTTAGGGAATTGACCATTTTGTAACAATGTTAGTAACAATGGTTATGGTCAGGAATATCTGAACAGATGATGGATCTGTAATATGTAGTAATTTGATAAAAATCTAAGAAGTCAGTCATAGAGCAGAACATATTGCTTTAACAGAATACTTGAAATAACAGTGAATAGGATGTCTTACCTCTGGATATATCTTCTATTCTGCTTGCTTGCCTCCAAATGTCCTTCATTGCATTGTAGTTGTATTCACTGATTGTAGAGTTTTTCTTACCCAGCAGAGCAGTACTTTGGCAAATGAATCAAAAAAGATTTTGAAAAACTGCAATGTTAGAACTGATCAGGCAATGAATTAAATATTTATTCCTTAGGAGCTCTCAAAAATCATGCCAATTCATGTTAAAGAAACTTAATTTGGCAGTAGGTGTACTACCCGCTTAGTTAGCTGGACATCACTGAAATGCATGCCTGTCTCAAGGAATGATGGGTACTATTGTATAAACAGGTTTTAGGAATTGTGTAAAGCAAAAAAACCATTTCTGCTAACACTCACTGAGCTTAACAGCATTTATATATTACTGAATTTGGTTTATTATTGAGACAGTGCTTGTTAGTGTATGTGTGTATTGTACCTTGATTCATCACATTGTCAGGATTAATCACGAAACAGCCTAAAAATCAGTAAGGTTGATCTCAATACATCTGCAGTGCTGCCTGCTTTCTACACATCCTCTGGAGTATGGAGTATAGTGTAGGACATTCTCTAGAATTTATATATAATGTATTAAGTTGTGAGGGGAAAAATTTTACTCATAGAGCTTTATTACTAACTGTGTAAGATATCTCTGTCAAAAGAATTCTTGTTCTGGAAAACCTCTGTGGTAGGTTAATTCCTACATGTGAAGACCAGTTAAAGGAAAAAATTGCCTAGTGTTTTTTAAAGAACCCTTAAATGAACACTGTAAATGTATATAATCATTTTCTTTGATAATAATCCAAAGCATTGGCTCAGTTATGCATGCCTTTCTTTTTTTTTTCCTGGGCAGCATGCAATGGGATGTTGGGGTGGCTAACCATGGAATGATACTAATGGCTTTCTTTTTTTCTCTTCACATCCCATTCTTTTCCATACCTTTTTATCCATATTGTCCCTTTTTTTTTCTCTGTTTTATTTTTATATGATTTTGACACCCTTCCATTCTACAGTGTGACCAAGATCAGTGCATTCAGAGCACTAAATTCGTTTTGCAGGCTGCTGCCACCCCCCTCCTACAGAGCGAGCCAAGCATAACTAGTGAAGAGCTCCCTTTACCGGGAAAGACTTCTCTCAGTGGGCCTTGTGCAACTCTGACTCTAGGGCAACCAACACCACCATCTTCTATGCCTAATCTCACATCAGATTCAGGTTTGACAGACATCATACCATTAAAAGAGGAGCACGAAGGCCATCAGTTCCTCACTCCTGAAGAAGCTCCGTCGCCCCCCGGGATGCTGCCGAGCGGGAGCCCTATTGCACACAGCCGCACCATGCACGTCCTGAGCCTAGCCAGCCAGGACTCCTTGCACGAAGACTCGGTGCGCGGCCTCGTGAAGCTTAGCTCGGTTTGAACAGCTTTTCTGAACATCACACCACGCCCTGGTGTCTATACAGATCTGTGCTTGGCAGGAATGACGCTGCAGTACCACTGTAAGGCTTCGTAACATGCCTGTAATGGAAACTTTATCACTTAATGGAGTCTACTAAAAGTAGACAAGTTATTTTTTTCAATGGAGCTATGGCATTTTTTTGACCAGGTTGTTAACGGTTGTGCTTTGATGGTGACTGCATTTTATTTTTAAATAAAACCAGAAAAGGTCAATAATCTCGTTTCCTGAAGCTGGGGTACAGCGAGTTGGAAGCCAGCCTGTACCAAACACCATGTACAGTACAAAAGAGAGAGATTCTTGGATGTAAGTGTCATGCTCTGTGTTCTATGCTCTTGTAATACACACTTGTTACGGCTTACCACACCTGTGGCCAGAATGATCTGCACTTACGTGTTATGCTACCAATATTTGAGATAGAAAATTGCCATTCCATTTGTTAATACAAAACAAAACAAAAGACTGCAGATGTGGATTTGCATGCCACGCTACAGTATGTGTTACAGTGGTGTTGGTATTAAGAGAAAGTGCTGCTTTTTTATTTGTGACTTTCAAAGTGCTGTTTCGTTTAAAGACAGTACAGCAAACAAATTAATGGACTATATTTTTTGAATTTATTAAATTTTATTTTAAATTAATCAGTGGTGCCTAGAAGATGATGAATTACTGATTTGATCATGTTGCATATCATTTAACCTTATGTTTAAGTGTTTAAGTGAGGTATTGTGTTGTGCCATACCACAAGATCCTTCCAATCCCTAATGTGATACAATTACCTGTGGACCTCCAATAAAATGACATCCTCTATTCCATTGATGTGTACAGTTATCCTTGCTCAGTTTTCATGGGGCAAAGAGGGGAAAATCATGACTTGTTGAGATAATTTGTAAAGATTTTACTGGAATATGTGTACATGATAAAACTAGACTATGGAGGAATATCTGGTTACAATTAGAATTGCTTCACCATTTTTTATGGTTTTGTTTGAGCTGTGTATTTGTTCCCATAGGAGGTCTTCATTTGGAACCATTAGAATTAAACTCTGCTTGCACTGTAATTCAGTGTGGCTGAAAGGTGAGGAGCTTAAGATTCAAGACTAAGACAGAGCTTAGTGAAGTAATCTTAAATGAATAATAGTCTATCGCTCTTTCCGGGCCATTGTTTGTCATTTGTATTTGTCCTTTGAATGGAAATTTTGATTTCATGGAATTCTTCTGTGCTTTTTGTTTGCTTGTTTAAGTGAAGCACAACTGAAATATTAAAGAGAATTTTATAAGTATTTTTTGTGACAGCTGAAGAGAACCCTAGTTAAGCTGTAATAGTTTTAATACTGTATTTACCTGCTTTTCAGGGTGTGGAGCCTGGATTCTTCTTTTCCTAGGACAAATTGCATACAGAATGGGCTTTATCTGATGTTTCTATGGTATGGAAGCATTTACCAGTTAAGAAATGTAACAGTTCTGTATTGTTGACCATGGTCATTCACTGACTCCCAGCTAAAAAATCTTTGTTCTTTTAACTTTTGTTGTTTAAATTGAGAACAATCAGTCTGCAGAAAATCATACACCCATGCTATTGAAGATTCAGACAAAATACTGACAAAATCCCTATTCCTGTAGCTTTCATGAGCAGTGTGTTTCTAAAACTGACAATTGTTACCTTGGGCCTAATTCAGTGTGTAGAACATAGCAGTGCTTTCTGTCTGTAAGTGCCACAATGGGTCCACCAAAGAACCTCAGGCAGACAAATCTGTCCTAGTTATTTGAGCCATTGAAGAAGCTCTGGCAGACAAGTCTGTCCCAGCTATTGTCAACCACCTTCCCCATACTTTCCAGAAGCTGGGACAGTCTGGAGTTCTTTCTACCAGCCAGAGTGTAGTGACAGACATGTCCCAGTTGGCTGGTCTCCCAGTAAGCCATGAGTTTCAGCACTTCTGTGTCTGCTCTTGAAGAAGTCAGTCATGCTCATCTTGATTTCACCTTTCCCTGGCATGGCTTCTTGGGTGTGAAGCCATGAACATCTGCATTAAAGCAAACAGTGGATTGAGGGCTGGAGATGCTGGTCTGATAGACCTGGGTAAAGAATCCCAGCTTTGAGTTTGTAGACTAGTACTTGATGAATCATTCTCTTTTCTGATAGGTGTCTGTGGGTAGTTAACTGTGGATGCATTACTCACTACTTAGAAGGGCAAGTCAAATATTTTTAATGTGGTATCAAAACTTTCCATTTGTACAAGTCATGATGAGGATGATTATTTTAAGGAAATTGTTCTTTTTAAGTTTCCCTGAAATAGCAAATGGATTTTATATTTCCAAGAATACCAGCTTCGTGACAACATTTGTATGTCACTGCCACTAGGGAGTAGTGAAGAAGGTTCTGTGCACAATGAAATTAGTGTCAGTTTTAACATTAAAGGGAAGGGAGGGGGACAGGATCAGAGCCTTTATGCTGTTTGCCTTCTGCTCGTGCTTTTCACCATCATTTTTTAAACCTTCTGTTTTGTTTACACGGGAAGTGTAAGAATTACGAAACATGGTGGAAACAGATGTGCTGCTTCAAACCTACTTGTTCAGGTGGTTTCTTTTAGTTTTTAAGATGACACTCCTTTTTTCTAAACATGCTGCCTATGTTTTTAAATTTGGCTTTTGAGAATATACTGAATACTTTGAATTCGTTTATACATTTATGCCAGCCCTATTTTAAGTCTTTTCCTCCCCGTCTGTTTTAACTGGTGACATCTTGAACCTCCCAGACATGCCTGCCTTGCGAGGACATCTGCTGGAAGGCTTCGGAACTAAGTGCTAACCCATCCGGATCGGTAATTGCAGCCTTTGACTGACAGCAGTCGGTGGTTCAGCAGCAGGTTGATCACAAAGGTACCTCTAACAGGGTTTCTAGATGCTTCCCCTCACGTCCATCACACCTGTCTTCTGTTCTGGGCACTCCCTTCGTTGGAACTTGTGTCTGGAATGAGTCAGCAAAGTAAACTATTCATCAGCTTCTCTACAGATTTGATTGTTGATATTTTATTTTGAAGTATGATTACAGAGCATGCACACTGAGGATCCAAAATTATAATCCTTGTGAGTACTGCACAGGGTTTTTTCTATTTTTATTTTCTGTGACAGTATACTACTATTAAATAGCTCTTTCCATGTTGATTTATAAATCTAGAATAAAAATTGGTATTTTCAGAAGAGTACTTTTTTTTTTCTTAAAAGCCTGAAATCTTTGAATGTGTAAAAACGGTTAGTCTATCTGATTTTAAATCTTTATTCTGCTTTGGTTTTTTAATAATATTTTCCCCTTCTAGTTGTCTGTATAATCTTTGTTGTAGAATGAAATACAGTGCTTCATTAAATTTTTTGAGGTTCTTTATTTTTTGTGATTTCTCAAAGATATTTCTATCTTAAAGTGAGTTTTGTATTCATAGCAGTTAAACAGTAATGTAATAAATGTCCAAGTGTTGCTGTATTTTCCTCTTATAGTACATCCTTTGGTAACTTTTCGTCCCTTCCTGTGAACTCATGATACAGGTAGATGTATTTCTGCATTCCTTAAAAATAATCTTATAGATGGAAGATTAGCTGTTTTGCAGTTTTGTGCATCCTGGACAATGTTCCCAGGAGATCTCATAAACCCAAAGACATAAGACACGGGTAAGACAAATTAATGAGACATGTCTTACAAATGTGATGACCAACTTGTGGTAGTGGAGATTTTTTCCCTTTTTTTCAGTCTATTCAGTGATTGTAACAGTTCACAGTAACTAAATGGTTGCTAACGTTCAAAATCCTAAACAAAGGGGCTTCACTGGAGAACCAACAAAACTGAGTTTCTATTTGTCTTTTAGATCCCAAATTCAATACAATTTGAAAAACAACTCAGCAATGTTGTAGAGAGATCTAGTCCTTACTTTAGTTATATTCTGGTTTATATGTGGGAACTGTAATATATTTGTTTACTTATTCCTTCTCTCCCTTCCCCTCCTTATCAGCAGTGGTACTCTGAAGCTGCACATGCTGTGTTTGACCACGGGCCATTCTGAGTCTTGGTATTAAAAGCCAGCTGCTGCCCAAATGATCCTGTTTTAGGGACTGACATGAGATGAATTAGTATACTTCAACACAATTTCAAATACTCATAGGCCCAAAATATGAATGAAATGTGTTTTAGACAGTTGTGTGTGGATTTAGCTCACTTAAATTAGAGCTGTCCTAGTTTTCAGGATTCATCTGGCTCAGGGCTCCCTGATTTTGGTTGCCTGCTTGCAAAGACGTTGCAGTTTGACATCTGAGTGCACTGCCTGGGCTACCAAAAGGCTCATGAGATTAAGTGAGCTATTTAAACCTGTGGATATCTAGATTAATGGTGAGTCATTGCAGCAATTCAGTCCTATCACCAGAAGGCAGCTGTCTGTTGATATTCAGCTCTACAATTTGAAAGTTCACCACAAACAGGACAAGTTGGGGAGAACAAGTTTTGGATGTTCTAAGGAGATTAGATAGGAGTTTGTTTCTAAGGTAGGTCAGAGAGGACAGGAATAAGAAGATGAAAGGGAGAAAGAGTGAAAGCAGAACAGAGATTATCAGATGACATGGAGGAAAAGAAGAATTACCTGTAAGCTGTGGAGGGCAAGGCGGGGGTTAGAAAGAAAAAAGCCTCATGGGAAAGGAAATGAGGACAGCTGTCAATATTGATCAAACAATATTTTTTAAAACCCAAAACAACAATTACTCACTGGTATTCTTTTTTTTTGAGAAATTTCTTAAAAGTCATTCTAGAAAAAAAAAATAAGGTCAGATTTTGAGAGAAAGTGATTGCAGGAAGATGGTAAGGAAAATGTGAGAAGTTAGTTTGCCCTCAAGCTTCTCTCCCTTAACATCTTTTTCTATTTCTGTTTTGAAAACACATCTGTAAATATAAAAACAGGCGAAGTCTTGGCTCCTTAGGGGTTGACAGGAATATAAGGACATCAACTATGATAAAAATGGGAATTGCTTTAGCATTTTGAATTTCCATACTGTTAATCATTTGAGCATTCTGTATTTCCACACCACAAGTGCCATTGCCTTGGAAAAATGAATGTTGTAGTATGGTTTAGTGTTTCTTGGTGATGCCTTAATTAAATTTGCCCATCCTTTAGTGAAGTGTTTTCCTAAGCAGTAGTCTCACCAATTTAACATGGAGCTTGGAATTCAGTCAGAGTTTCTGTGACTATTGTGCAAATTGGAATTAAGACTACAGGCTAGGTAAAGTTTGTTGTTTGAAAACTGGAAATATCTGTCCCACAGAGATGTATTTGCTTTGCAATATATAACAAAGTCAGTTCCACTGGCAACAGAATGTTAATGACAGTTATCTTGATGTATTTTATGTTCTTTCCAACTTTAGCTACATTGCCCCTTCTGAAAACCTGGAAAATCAGAACCAAGTTTAATCCAATTATAATTAAAATCTCAAACCCAAAGCTAATAAAGCTGCTGGAACTTACCTGTGTGTGTTTAGGTGTAGTTACAGAAGGGACCACCTTAAAAAACCTTGGCTGAATGATCTGTGATGGAGGAGAACTCTTGTAGTAGAGCTCTACAAGAACAAGAGTTCTTGTGGAACTCTTTCTTTAGCTCCTCTTAAAAGCACCATCTGCAACTGAGAAAAACAGGCTCTAAAGTGGCTCACTTTGGGATTGTGCTCTGTAGTCTGTCCATGACAATCTGCAGGGATGCAAGTGCCCTGGGCACTGCAACTCAGAGGTGGAAATGAGCTGGACTCCTTAGAGGCTGTACTTGCTCAGGAATGAGCTTTG